TTCGACTGACCTTCACACACCTGGACATTGAGTCTTCTGGAGGCTGCTATTACGACTCCCTAACAGTCAGGGCCATTCACATAACACCTCTAATGCATTTCCAGAGTAGCAGACTTAGGCTACAGTTCTTCACTTTAACATTTGTTTCTGAATCTTTAACTCTTACATATAACAGCCATTATTAACTATGAATAGATGTTTCTGGAAGTATGGTTATACTCGGCGTACTTTCTGCTCAGCTTTGCTTGTGTTGAAAGGTGACAGGCAACAAAACCCAAGACCATGACCACCCGTTCCTCACACGAGTTTAGTTTCTATAGATAGTAGATATTCTCAGGACATACTTGCATGTCAAATTATATAAAACAATTTTAGTCAATGATTTATTTCTATACAACAGTTCAAACATAAACACTCAAACTAAACTCAATCAATTCTTCTTACTTTATTCTGGGTAACCTCACACACTTTCGTGTGATCTGCTAATCTCTTAGGTCCTGTATAATGAGAAAGTGTTGGAGAAGTTCTGTGGGAATACAAACTCTGCTGATGGACATCACCCTGGCCACCAGCCCATTTTGTCTCCAGGCAACAGACTCACCCTTATATTCCAAACAGATGACAACAACCCAGAGCGCCACCAGAATGTGGGCTTCCAGGCTCAGTACCAGGCAATAGGTGGCCCCGCCTCCTCCTCTATCAGCTTCTTTGTCTCCTCCCTCCTCCATAACTTAGCCAGCTCTTACTAACTCAATGTTGTTATTTTCGTTCAGACATAGATGAATGTGCAGTTCTCGAACTTGAAGATGGCTCAGAACCGCTCTGCCATCAGATCTGCCTCAACACACTTGGCTCATATCTCTGTGCCTGTCACCACGGCTATGAGCTCAGCTCAGACCAGCGCACATGCAAGTGTGAGTGTCATGCACATACAATCCACGGTCATATGCTCATACTGAGTCTATCAGTCCTTCACAGCTGAAATTTTTTATTTGAAATGCTTTACGTGACAGGATGATAAGTGACTGAATGGCTTTCTCTTTTCTTCTTGCCTAGTATCCTGTGGAGGTGGAATATTTGATGAGCCTGAGGGACATCTATTCAGTCCAGGCTACCCAAACTCCCCTTCTCAAGCTCTGTCCTGTCAATATGTAATTTCTGTAGAACCCGGCTTTACGGTCTCTCTTAATTTCTCTGACAACTTTCAGATTGAGAGTATGAACACTGCGGACGATCAAAACTGTCTCTATCACTGGTTGGAGGTAACTGGACGCAGCTCTACCCGTTCATATTTTAATACATGAAAATAAACACAACTTCAATGTTTGTATTGTTAAAGTAACTGTTCACTACTCTTTTCTGAAAGGTGATTGTCCCAAACACAAAGCCGAGGAAGCTGTGTGGGGGGGAGAGTCCCGGTCTGATGGTTACAAACTCAAACATTGTCAAGCTGAACTATGAAATTGATGATAGAGGACTCAGCAAAGGCTGGAGCCTGGACTACAGCACACACCGTCAGAGCATTGCAATTCAAGACAATGAGAAGCCAAACTAAAAGTCCTGCAGTAGATGACAGCATTATTTTCTTTTTTTGTGGTGTTTCCAGGAGTGAAGTGCCCAGTTCCTGGTCGTGTAGCTAACGGCAGAGTCACTCCTTCCTTGACTGAATATTTCTATAGAGACCACATCTATGCACGCTGTGACCAAGGATACAAACTGATGATGGTTAGATCTTCTTTTTTTCCTTTATCACAATAAGTAACATGAGTGAGTATGTGTATTCTAATAATGAGCTGGTTCTCCACTCATGCCTGTTTTTTTGCTTGCAGGACGGTGTGGAGATCAAGAGTTTCTCTGCCATGTGCCAAAGTAACGGACAGTGGCACCTCCCTCTGCCAGAGTGCCACAGTATGTTTACCCTCAAGCCAAGGCTTTACGTGCATGATAACATAGCACAGATTTGACATATGATGCATCCAGTTGACAAAATACTTTTTGTTTTGCCGCTTGTCCACAGTCATTGATTGTGGAGAACCTGAACCTTTGCTGAATGGAGGACTGACTTTCCTGTCTGGTTCACAGAATCAGTATCTCTCTGTTGTACAGTACCACTGTAATGAACCCTTTTACTCTCTACTTGGTAGAGCAAATGGTAAGATGTGTGCACACACTGTCTGAAAGTGTCATCATGTTGTTTTATATTGCAACTAACGTTTCTAAATTGACATCTACAACATTTCAGTAACAGATTGCATCGATACTGTGCCACTTGTCTTTCATTTAATTGACTTGAACAAAGTTTATCAAGCAGATTTCTGTTATTGGGAGCTGCATGTGCTGTGGTGGTATGCACCATTAACTCACAGCAAGAGGATTCCCTGTCTGAATCCTAGCCGGGGGTCTTCCTTTGGTCTTCCTCACTGTCTTCCTTTTGTCTTGCTCGTATGCCCTTCAGTCAGTTTCACATGTGAAGCAGACAGAAAGTGGAGGTCCAACCTTGATGCTGTTGTCAGTCCAATGTGCCTACCAGGTAACACTTTCTGTTCTGCATACCTTCTGTACACAAGAGTGTTCTGTGGAAGGAATTCATTCAGCACTTATGTTGCATGACATTGTGACTTTTCAGCACAGAATTTACATTACTAATTAATATTAAGTCAGACAAAAAAAATTTAAAACAAAAATGGAACACTATGGACATCTAAAGGTGAAATAGAAATGTCACTAGAGAATGTCTGAGAGGTTAAACAATATTGTTTTATCTGAAAGACCTGGAGAAAACAGGCTTTGCCTAATACTCCACGATTGTTATGCTGTTAATGTGATAGGCCTATCAAATCGTGTTTGTTTCCATTTATCTTAAACCTGATGTGCATTTGTTCATAACTCATACAGTTTGTGGTCAGCCAACAAAACACATTTCTGCCTATCAGAGGATTATTGGGGGCAGTGAAGCTCCGGAACATACCATTCCTTGGCAAGTGCTGGTTAGCGTAAATAGAGGGAGAGGAGGAGGCATGGTCATAGAGGACCAGTGGATTTTGACTGCAGCCCATGTGGTGGTACAAGGTGGACAACCAGTGTCAAACGTATCAGTGAGTGCACTGTCACTGTACACTGTCTGCTCACTCCCTACATGTTTTTGTGCTGACATACTTATGCTGTTGATTTACAGATTTTCATGGGGCATACAGATGTTGAAACTATGAAGAACTCAGCTGTGTATTCTGCCTCAATCCATGTTCACCCTGGATACAACAACCCTAAAAACTTAGACTTCAATAATGACATTGCCTTGATCAAACTGCAAAACCCAATCACCTTCGATGCGTCTGTAATGCCGGTATGTTTGCCAGCAGAGGACGCCACATATCTCACAGGCATGATGGGGTGAGGAAACGGATATGACATAATTTAATAAAATCGGCAGTTTTAGTCCCTTTGTTGAAATGTTTGCACCTTTTAGAGACTTTGATCAAACACGTATCTAATTCTGTTTTATTTTCTTTCAGTTCATGATCCTTTTTATTTTTTAATAGTTACTTTTGATAATGCCTTTTGTCAGACATCTGGCAAACTTAAAAGTGAAAGAGTCTTATAATGTGAATTTATCCTTTATAGATTTGGATGGTTTTGAATACCATGTTGGTTTTGTTGATTGAATTCTTTGGGGGGGCTGTTTCCTTTCTAAAAGAGACTTCTTCTTGATTGTGACTTTTTTTCAGAATGGTGTCAGGATTTGGTGTCACAGATGAGGGGAAACGTCAGGTTCAAAGAAATAAGCTTAAGTATGTGCAACTTCCAGTGGTGGAACAGGAGACATGCAGCCATGCCTTTGCTTTGCTTAAACAAAAAAGCAATTTACCTGACGTGACAAACAACATGTTCTGTGCTGGATTACCTGAAGGAGGGAAGGACTCTTGTCAGGGTGACAGTGGAGGCCCCTTCACCCTGAATGAAGACGGACGATTCTGGGCTGCTGGGATTGTCAGCTGGGGGGAAAAATGTGGAAGGAAGGGAACATATGGAGTCTATACCAAAGTTGCTAACTATGTGGACTGGATCCGCAACACCATACAGGAAAATTGACAATGATTGCAACTTCAAAAAAAGATTTACTCTTGTTAATTGCTTTCTGAGAGTTCAACAAAAATAAATGGTCACCTCTCTGTTGCTGCTAGATGTCTGGACATGATTAAAACCAAGGTGTAACGAAAGCTGAAGAAAATTAAAAAACTTAAATGAGAAGATGACTCTTTCAACAATAACCAATTCTTTAATTCCCCCTGGCTTCTCGTCCCTCTTGATTAAATAAATCCATGAATCCATTTCAGATATGGCGGATCAGTTTCTGCTGTCCATTTCACCACTGGGTATTCAAAGCCCTAACATTGTGACTACATCCTACAGCGATTAAGTTGTGTTGAGGCCGCGACATGTTATCTGACAACATTATGAAACAAATTTTATACACATATACACCCCCTCTAAAGAGCTAAACAAGTTCAATTTTGGCCATTTGTAAAATCTTTACCATACTCAAAACTGTAACCTATGAATTGGGGAAAACACATAATTGTGTCTCTTATTTTTTCTTGTTCAGAAACAGTCATTTAGATGTCATCTTTTGTTATTTGCACATCTAATGAATTCTGAGTTAAAAATAAATAAATAATTGATTAAACAGGTCCGGTCAAAATATTCCATGGAGTCGAGGACGATGTTTCCACGGTGATGTATGACCTTCAACCCTGCTGCGCTCTCATTGGACAATCGCTTTTAACTTTCATTTTTGACTGGTCATCTGCGCATGCTCCAGATAAACAACCGCCCCTCCTCCTCCGACGCAGATTCTGCATCACCGAAAGTCTAATCTTTTAAAGTTTATTTGCGTTCAAAATGTCTTATGAGTGAACAATATTCACTGGGCGAAGGAAAGGGTGATGGAAACTTTGGCATGCAAACGAGCTGACATCAGCGAGATGCGTCGGTAACTTTTAAAAGCAAAAGTGAAAGTGGTGTAGTGCATTCTTAGTTATAATTTGGACTTTATTTCATTTGGTCGATCCACGCTTTTTTATTAACAAAGAAACACTTCTGCTCCCTCATGATGATTCAATCCATTTTTTTCGGATACCTAATAACGTGTGTTTATGGTGAGATATTAAGCAACGTGAAAAAGATTTAGACAATGGTTATATTTTCAGTCAGCAATGGGTTTTTTACATAGTCTGATATATTAATACCAGTTGTACTTGAAATGTATCTATTGTAACAATTTGGTTCAGTTATACAAGGATTTTATCAAGGGTAGAGTTAAGAAGCCAAAAGATATTTTAATCAATATTTTACAAATATTTTGTTTAGCTTTATTCATAGTTGTATTTTTCTATATGTTAAACCAATGATGACGAAACAAGGAACCCACGTGAGATTAAAAAAGTGGATGCACCTAAGCTGGACTTCTATTATTATTAAGTAGAAGTCCATTAGGGGACATTTTCAGGATGCTTATGCCTTGTTTTTCAGCCGATGGGGTTGCAGATGTAGTGCTCTCTTGCGCTCTGGTGGAGGAGGGAGTTGGACTGGGTGGGATGGCAGGCGGTGCTTTCTTCACTCGTACCCCAGCCACGCTCGTGCTGCGAGATGTTGCCGTGGGCCCGGAAGAATCTCTTGAAACGCTCAGTCCGTTTGTTCCGCCTTCAGTCCCTGATCCAGAGCTCATCCTGTTTGAGGCCAAAGGTTTCCTTTGCATTCTTTATTTCTAAAGTTTATGTATCATACAAGCGTAAACCGCGTTGAACTCGTCTCATTTCACCGTGGCAGTGTCTTCCCCCGAGATCCCCAATGCAGAAGCGCTGCTCCACGCAGACTGCAATGAGCAGGAGGTGATGTGTGAAATAAGTCGCTACCAACCTCGGGGACAACAGGAAACTTCAGATACGGCCTATTTCATGGTGTCCCTCAATGTGGAGGGACTTGAACTCAGCTCTTCACTGATTCTGCAGACCTTGACAGGAGAAAAATATCAGTCACAGCTGATACAAAATAAACTGGGTCTGCCTCTCAGCCAGTCTGGAACTCTACTGACTAAAGGTGAAGAATTGAATATCACATGAGAACAGTCTCAAAACTATTATTGATTTTTTCTAATCTGAAATGTTGTCTCTATTCTCTCTGCTTGTTTTGTGTTTTAGTGATATTCCTGGTCTTTTCCAATATAAATTCTGTATCTGCCCCTCCAAGAGGCGATGTTCTCCTCAACTGTGGCTTCAAGCAGCAGGAGATCCCATTAGACCAGGAAGTGGCTGTTGAATGGCGCCTGCAGCACAGGGGAAAAGGCCGGAAAATACTTGAAATGAAGACCAAACTGGACGAAACAGAAGAGAGTGAATTGGGTAAGCATAGTCAGGTTAATGCAATCCTTTAAGGAGGAATAGATGTTAGTGTGTGTGTGTGTGTGTGTGTGTGTGTGTGTGTGTGTGTGTATGTGTGTGTTGAGGTTTGGTTGAACATCTTACGCCTAAACAAGCTGAAACTGATGCTCATTTATTGAAATTTGTGTCCTATGTAACAGTAAAGAGGTGTTTATTCACTCCCGATCCTCCCTTTAATCTGGCCAGAGAAGTTGTAAAAGCTGTTCCACCTCATATTTTTACACACATCACAGGCATTTCTTTTTTTTTTTTTTTTTTTTTTTTTTTTTCCACTCAAACCAATAATGCTGGAATTGTGGTACCAGTTCATTGTGTGTTAGGACACATCAAAGAGGGGCTGCGTCTCCTCTGTTTGGCCTGGCAAGGTGTTTATTTTTCTATTATTAAGTGTTATGGATATGTAAATGGTAAATACTGTATTTTCCTAATCCAGAAAATGATTATACTACTAACCCAGATTGTAGTTCTTACTAGTCCATACAGTGTTACAGGCTGCACAGTCCTCTTTTCTCTGTGCACCCATCAATGGATGCATCAAAAAAAAGTAACGAGAACACCAGAAATCAAACCTCCGTGGGAGAAGTTCTTTTTGCAAATAGCTTAAAGCCTCTGTGAGTCAATGTTTGTCCATTCTGAGGTACTGTGGACATAAACTGTGCTGGAGGGACTGCAGGAGATGCGGAACGCACCGTTGAAAATGCAGCTAAATGATATCAGAATATCCAAACCAGTCCACATAATGTTAGACTTTTAAGATGTTAGGAATTGCACACATGAATTTGAAAATTACAGAACATTTCTGTCATCAGTGCGTGGTGAGAAGAGGGGTTCGAGCATGAGTGTTGCTCAGGTCGTCGGTGAGGGGAACGTCTCTTTGTCTCTGACCCATCTGAAGGTGGTGGATGAAGGAACCTACATCTGTACAGTCAGCATTGGGAACTTTCACGCCCAGCAGGTCATTCAGCTCCATATTACCCGTACGTTTCTCCCAAATCTGATTGGTCCAAGCATCCACGTCATATTGTCATTTATCATCTGTCGGTTTTACTAAAGTTGAACTATTTTTCAGAACCACCACATGTTTCGCTGTCAGAGGAGAAGTTGGTCTTGAATAAAAAGTCTGACCAGACTTTAAGCTGTCACTGTAACAAATACTATCCACTTGATGCACAGGTCAGTAAGTCCTCTGTATCAGCTTCCAGAGACTTCTTTGTCATCTATTGTATAACTCGCTAAAAGCTTGAGTGTTAAATTGAATTGGTCTTAGAATCACTTAAAAGGACACGTTTGTAATAGCAGCATATTAAGTGGAAACCTGCCGCTTTATGACGGTTTCGTTTATTAAACAGCATTTTAGCCTTTTTAGCCAGTACTGTTTTGATTTTAATCTAATAAAATTCAAGACATAAAAGTAAGGACGAATAAAACTGTGAAAACAGTAGCTCAGCATGCTACCTATGGCCTCATAACATGGTCCCTGAGACATAAGACATATGTTTGCTCAGTTTTTGTAAATGTTTTTTTTCTTTTTATAGTTATACAGATGTAATACGACCAATGGGGTGACAAACAAATCATAGTTCAAATCCACTTAGAGTGAATTCCTTGAAACAACCTTATCAGGTCATTATATCTTTACAAGTAGTTATCCCCATGACCACCAGAGGGCGCATGCTCTTTAAAAGTAAGCAGAATTCATGTGTGAAGGCATGAATGTGGGACACAGGGGCAGGGTTTGAGGAGGAATGCGGTGTACTGAAGCTTCCTTTTCCTTGTCTGTGAACGTTTTTCTTGTGCATACTTCTGAACTGACACTCTGAATAATATTTTTCAGACAGAAATATTGTTGTAAAAACGAGAGACGGAGAAGCTGCAACTGGAAGCTTGCTTGGAGAACACTTTATGAATAAATGATATTACAAACATGGCATTTTCTTGCAGTTTTTAGATTAACAAATGGATCTAATAATGTTTCTCTTCTTTTCCCCTCTCTCTCAGATGGAGTGGCTCTCCCTCTCTCCGACAGACCCAGAACCTGAGCTCTTTAAAAATCAGGGATCCCTGACCAGCCATCGACAACACGGCGATGGGACATACTCGCTGTCATCTCACCTTACTGTGCCACCCACCCTCTCCCCAGGAACTAAAATCATATGTAGGGTGTCTCACCAAGCCCTGGAAGCTCCTATGCATGTCAGTGTGGTGGTAGAAAATGCTGAACCAGGTATGTATGATCAGTAACAACAAGCAGAAGCCATCATGTGATTAGTTTATTCTGTTGAGCTTAATCAAAATGAAATTTTAGAGAATCTGAGAGCTGCCATTTGTGCAGTTATATATTTAATAGATTTCTTTGTTTTGCCATTTGTTTTCTCCATAATTTGATGCAGTGACCTGCTGTGATCAAAAACAAGCTTTTCCATGACAGTGAGCAGTTCCTGTTTTAATGCCTGATGGAAATGTTAATAATCACTTCTGGCTGAGGAAACAGTTGAGGAAGATCTATGTGATTCAACCTATTATATTAGCTATGACGACACCATAGTTCAGCGGGCAGCTGGTTTTAGCATCACTGATGATCATTTGACTCCACAGGGTGCGGTGTCTTACTGAGTGTGCTTGAATGTTTTTGTCACTTTGCAGATTCCTATTGGTGGATCCTTGGTTTCCTGGTCATCACCGTTCTTTTCTTCTACCAGGTCATGAAATAGATTTGTCTCAGCTGATCTTGACTTGAGACTGAGCCCAGAACTGTTTCATTGTGTCATTTGAAGTCTTTAAGTTATTAGCAGTCAAAGTGGTTGTTTTGATTGTTGTGGTGAAATGTTGAACTGGAAAACGCACATTTGAAGGGGAAAGATTAGTGCTCTTTTACTGCCGTCTCTGATCTAGCTCTATCTTTTGTTGGCCTTATACATTTTGTGTTCATTGTTCGTAATCATGTCCTGTTACATGATTCAGATTTGGAAGCTGTATTTCGGGACCGGGTAACACATTAGATTCCAGCCTAAAATTAGCCATTACAAAAAAAGCTAACACAAAAATTTATATGCCTCCACATCAAAACTTTCCTTGAGAAATGAAGAAAAAAGACAGTTAACTCCATAGAGAATGTGCAGTTTTGCTGTGAGCTTAACAGAAATGTGAATTGACCACACAGAGACAGTCACTTAAATTCAAACAACACTGACTGGGAAGGAGGAATAGGAGAAGAAGAAAATATTATTATCTGGGCTTAACTGCTATTTTAGGGAGGCATGGAATGAACTGTGTTGTTGTGTTGCTCGGTACTATTTTGAAGTTGACATTTTTTATAGGTGTGATGTGATTTAGCTTTTTACTCTTGAAATCCATATTTGAGTTTGAACAATTTAGTGATTAATTAAATGGATCAAGGTGTTATAAATGTGGATTTAGAGCTTGTAAATAATGGGACTCCAAACCTTTTTAATGTCACTGCTGAAAATTTAATAAAGAGGACCATATAAAGAAAAAAATACTTAACTTTGTCATTCTTTTATTGAGGATAGTTAGTCTGTAATCGGATGATTTGTAGTTTCATACTTTGATCATGATGCCTCATGATGCTACAAATGTTTCACTAAATGAAAGTAGTCTCATGTATACATTTTATGTCGTCATATTTAATTTTACACGACATGAAATTGTTACATTTCTGACAGATTGCCAAATTTGTGGATCTTATAGTTTTTTAAAACATCATGAAGAACTACTGATTTAGATAATAACAATATTAAACAATACCGGGTTATCGTAGGTGCCAAAGTCCTATTTTGACTCCTCATTTACGGACTTGCATAAAATATTTATGTTTGTAGCTGTTAACAGTTAGCAGAAACAGACCTATACCACATTGTGCTCATTTTCAAATTGTATGCATTAAAGTCCAAACATACTTATGCCTTAAACATTTAATGCTCCACTCTAACTCCTTTCTAAGTCTTATGATGTTTTGGCCATATATTTATGTGTTTTCGCAACTCCACTTTGTAAATTGGTTCAACATCTTTAGGTGTAATTTCTCTTTTTAGAAAACACCAGTGACAATCAGAATATTGTCTGAAAAACATTTCAAGAAAACAGCACATGGCCCATTTTCACAAGAGGAGGAATGCGTTTCCGTTCATGATTTCTTTATTGGCATCAGCAAAAGTGGTAAACATGCAGTTGTTTTTGCAAATCTAGTTGCATCTCTTACTGTTTTTTCAGGTCACAAAACATATGTCTTATCTCATATGGTAATTACCTGATGATATTGTAGCTCAATATCATCAGATAATTTTGGCTTAGCGCTACAGTTATGCATAAATGCACTTTGCACATAAGGTTGTTCATATTTTCACCGTTTCATCAGCTCCAAATCGGTCAAAAGAAAGGAAAATACTTGCCTCGTAACCAACACCCCCCCCCATAAATCTTAAGGATTTCTATAAACACAACTTCAGGAGCATAAAATGACAGATGTATATCAGGGTTCTACTATAACAATACTTTTTTTAGGTTTACTATGGTTGCCTACAGTCTCTAAACAATACTTTTTCTCTCCGAAGCAAGTGATTCTGACAAAATCTGGCAAACTTGGGAGCGTTGTTGCATTGCACATTGCATAAGCAGTAAGTATCCGATCAGAAAGACATTATACACAGGTCCTTAAACCACTAACAAAAGAAAATATACAATCGGCAGTAAGATTCAGAAATGGCAGATACACAAGTCACACGAAAAGGCAAAACTATGGACACCATTTGCCATGCAGGTTAGAAACAAACTCCTCAAACTGACCGTTGACTTGCTGCAGGTGACAGATGAGCCTGTTTTTATGCCAGTCAGCAGGGGACAGGATGGCCAGGTGGCTCAGAGTTTCCTTCAGAGGTCCTCTCTCCCATTTGACTGCTTTCTGAGAATCAGGCCAACTTAAACAACAAACACTTCAACAGCACAGCTCTCAAACCAAGTTTGAAATGTGATGCTACACATTTATCTGTCTATGGCTGTGAGTCTGACCAAATCAGAGGCGAGAGACTTTCCCCGGGGACCTTGCGGTCAGCTCACGTGTACAGTGGATTGTCTGTTAGTGGGCGCTTTGTCTGTTTGTCGTCTGCACATATTGCTTCGCCTTTAAGATTAATTCCGCCACTATTCCACCTGTGGTACAAAAACCCAGGTACAAATGAAGTACATTTACAAGATACTCCATCAATGGATGCTCTTCAGTTATGAATTAGGTTTCACTTAATTGTGGAGGAAAATGTTGCGTTACACCTACTCCTCCCTCAATCATCTCGTATCCTAAACTCTCACACAGTCTTTTGCCCTTGTTTTGCTTTTCTCCTTCCTCGTCGTTGCTGCTGAAAATAGAGTTAGAGTGACACAAAGATATACAGCAGATAGGAAAAATAAAACTATAGGGTAAAGCCTATTGGGTAGATTTTGAAACAGCTATTAGTTACAGTGCTCAGATCACAATTACACACGCACGAACAACAAAAATGATCATAATCTTCATCTAACATGTTAATAAGTAGCAATGGAAGAAGCAGTGGTGACAAAGGGTGTGTTAATTAGACATCTGTATCAATTTACAAATGTAAGTCTCTCAAAAATGGTGATCTGAACAAGCTTTGGCGCATTTAAAGTAGAAAGACTGCAAACTCTTGTTCGGTCTCCCTGCACACCATCTGGACATCTCCCCTCTTATCTCAGGTGGATTAGGCCTCATGAGCTCCCATGCCGCAAGGACTTTCCAACTCTCTCCTTCTTCTTTCTTCCTCTTTGACTCTACCAGCTGCAGCATTTAATAATACATGAGGTGTCAAGACAGGAGAGACTGAGTGAGACCTCATGGAGAAACAGTGGAAGAAAGCAACCAGAAGGAGGGAGGGAAGGGAGCAAAGAGAGCAGAGACACCTATGACGACTACTGCTATGTTTTAGTGCAAGATGGTTTGACGGAAGACTGTGTAAAGAGAGAGAGGGGAGGGCTGACAAAAGGGAAGGATTCACGCTGGGGTTTCATCTTTTTTCACTCTTCCCTGTTATAGGATCCTCAAGTCCATGACCATCTGTAATGATGGGCGGAGCTTAGTAGAAGAAGTACACTGCAAGTAAAGGATAAAATGGAAGTCATTAGATACATACATCTGGAAAAGCTCTGGTTAAAACAAACAGAACCCAGAAGGATGGTATTTTTTTTTCATTATCCTTGAAAACGCGTAAAGCATAAACACAAATAAAATTAATACATTTATTTTTATCATCTCAGGTAACATGAAGAGCATTTAAATTAAATGTGAGGTTGGATCTAATCATCTCCACCTCATTATTTAATCTCATAAACCTTTTTCTCGTTAGGATGAAGAGAAAAATCTTCCACTTACAGAATATTATTCCAACCACAATGACTCCGATGATACCCATCATGATCATCATCTGGAAAAAGAGAGCAAAAGAAAAAATATGTCCAGTGCCATCAAACAGAACAGAAAAACAGTGACACTAGGGACTGTTTGTCCTTCGTGTAGTTTGGTTATGCAATGCCTTTAATATTTCAGAGTCGGTAGTGAAACCTACAACAGAAGTCTTTCTGCCTTCTTGCCCTGAGGCTTCATCCAAAGCTTCCACAGCCGCCAATTAACACACTGTTATGTAGTCTTGGTGTGTTATTCTTCAACTTTTCCTCCGTACACCACAACACATAATGCCAGGCTTCTGCTTGACTCCGACTCAGATTACATTATTAACTCTTGCTCACGGACAATCAGCGTAATGGACCCACTCTAATGTGCCCACCTTGCAGTTCTTCCACCAGTACTTGTTTTTTAGCTTGGCTGCACAGCTTTCAAACTGAGAGGCTCCGGCCTGGAGAGCATCTGCTCTGTCATCCAGCTCTGAAAGCTTCTGGTCCCTTTCCAAAACCTTGTCCACGTTCACTCGCATGATATCCACCACCTAGAAACAACCATGAGAAAGCAATTGGCAGGGGCGGAAAGGAAGAACACGATGAGAACTATTTAAGCAAATTAAGGCACATTTTCTGAAGCCACGTGCCACAAATGAGACAAAAGGATCATTGGCAACCCAGGGCCAGTGACCAAAATGTATTTAACAACAACATGGCTTTTTGAATAGGTTGTTTCGGTTCCAATAACAGCATGTCACATGTTGTCTTATAACCGAGATGATTTAGGACTTGGCAAAAACATATTTTAGATGCAGAAACATTAACATCGAACGGTGTGGCAGGATCGGTCTGGCATGGTCTGGCTCACCTCCTCAACCTGGGCCTGTGTCTGTTGTAGTCGGCGGTTGCTGGAGGTGTTGGGTGGGGCGGGTGGTCCGGCGGGGGCCCCATCTGCGCCGGGGGCTCCTGGAGCACCTGGAGCTCCAGCTGGTGGGGCAGCATCTGGGGCAGACCTAAAAAACCACGAGAAGGTGGACGTTTAAAAAAAAAAAAGCTTTTCACAGACAAATCAAATCAGTTTGGACCTGATGCGACGCGTGCATGTTTGAAGCTTGTACACCTCACACATTACAGCATCAGTAGTTACACAGGAGCTGCAGACAGAAATGCTATGACAAACATCTAGTTAAGTGAGTGGGTTTTGGCATGTGAGGAGTAACTCAATCATGAGAAGAAAAGTATGCTTTTTTAAAAATGTTACTCCAGGTAAAGGGCAAATGTGTCAAGACTGGAAATCAAGGGGGAAACACAGCAAAATAGGTACAGAAAACAGAGCTGTAGAGTGAAGAAGACCAATAGGAGAACAAGAAAATGGAATGAGGAAAAACAAAAAGCAAGTGAAGTGTGGGCAGAATGGCAAATGATTTAGAATGATGTATTTTTGTATTGCTAGATGATAATAAATTTAGGCATAACTTTAGCGGTTATGTCGAGTGAGAGGAAAAGACAATGCAAATAAGAACGAAAGGTTAACCCATCTGTGGAGATGAAGGGGTTACACACCAGATTTAAAACTGAGTAAATAAGATGTGCAAAGCAGGCAGCCACTGGAGCGGCTGCTGGAATATATTCCACAGTCGCTCACAGACCAAATTTACAGCAGCTTGGAGATCAATTATATTCAAAAGACTGAAAATCATCATTCTGCTTAAAGAAAACATGCAACTTATGAATTAAAAGTGCCTCAAAATCTCAAAGTCACACATATGTTAAGTTTTGTTTCAGTTTTTATAAACAGCATTTTTAATGCACAGGGATATAAAAAATAAGTCATTTTAACTTTACTGAGGGCTTTGGAGAGACAGCAATCAACCTCTGAATACATAATTTAGCAGAGCTGTGACGGAAAATTTCACTTGCGTCAGCAAAATCCATCAAGCAGAAATAAATCAGCCCAGTGTTAGATAACCATATTGGAAAAAACACATTCAAAGAAACGGACTGAATACCCAGCCCCCTTCTCTGTGCTGTTGTAGCTGTTTTTGAGGAAAGAGTGCGGTGGAAAACCGCATTAATACTCACATCTTGTATGTATGCAGCTGTTAGAACTGACTCACGGGCAGCGGAGGAGGGGTGGCTGCGAGGCAGGAGAGGGGGGGTCTGAAGTACAACGCCAGGAAAAAAAAAGAGCAAGATCACAGACTAAAAAAGAAATGCAAATGTGCAGGCACCTATATAAACAATATGCCACAGATTTGAACGAGCAAAGAGGGTTTTGTAAGTGAGGGGCGTGGAGTCTTCTTGGTGCAGTGGAGCCGATCTTCTAGCGGTGCCTTTATACTGCAAGTCGTCAGCAAAGTACCGCAATACAGAGCCACGTATACGGGTCAGGTTATAACTCACTGTATGGCTGGCTGGGGGGCCAGGAAGTGATGGAGCGCAAGAGAAAAGCACTCCTGGGTTATAATCCGTCCAAGAGAAATCCACGGGTGCTTAGGTTCCTGCAAGGCTGCATCCAGCTCCAAGTGATGCTGAGTATCTGGAGCAGATCCTGGATGCTGGCTGAGACGCGGCGCTGATTGGCTGGTTCTCAAGTTGCCTCTCCTGAAAGCTTCCAACAAATTTAAGCAATTTAAAAAAAGGAAGAGGAAAAAGTGACAGACAATAGAAAATCTGCCGTCTGTCTTTGATTTCTGTCCTCTTCCCTTTTCTCCCTCTCTCTCTCTCTCCCTGTCTTACTCGTCCTCTCTCTCTATCTCTCTCTTTCTCTCCCTCTCTCCCTCGTGGGAAGTGCGGTAGTTTCGTCCGTGCAAAGTGTTACGGCACTGTAGGCAACTGCAATAATGCGTCTCTCCTCCTACCGTCTCCAGTTGGACTCGTAACGACAGTGCGGTACCCCCTCCCCTCCCCCCCCCCCCTCCCCCCCTCCCCTCCCCCGTCTCCCCTTCCACTTTGCAGTGCTGCAGCTCTCCGTGTCGGGACGACACTGCAGCACAGCCAAAGCCTACAGAGTGTTGACTCGACTGTTTCCTCCCTGGCCCGGGATTCTCCCGGCTCCCTCCTCCTGCTACTGTATCACGTTGCCATTTTGCAATGGCTCCAGTTCGATACATGCTGATGGGTTTCTTGAAGCGGCAACATCTGCACGGTTTCCATTTCGATTCGGTTTCGCTCCAGAGAAAAAGAGCAGTTCCAACCACAGAGAACACGAGCAAGGTTTCAGGGCAGAATAAAATGGTTAGCATTAATATACTATAATACAGTGTATACATTGGCCGAAATGCGTTTTGTTTGTTTGAGTTGCTTCGGGTTTGGGGTAGCCCTTTTTATTTATTTATAAATATTTATCACTTGGAAAATGAATAACAGTTCATGTAAACACAGTAAGATTTTTTTAAATGAACTTGTAAAAGTATAAAGTCATAAAATAAAAGACAAACACAATCCTGTCATACAGATTCCCATTTATTAAATAGATGAATGAGTTTAATCTGCTTGGACATGGTCCTACTAATAGACGTGTGAAGAGGAGCTTGGCCGGCCTGCATTTATAACCAGTTTGATGTCATCATTCATCTCTTGGATTAACTGAAAAGGCCTCATTGTTTTTGTGACTGAACTCGCGGATGCTCTTGTGGCTGAGCCAGAAACAGCACTCCAGCCAGGACCTAACATTTTTTATATTTTCATGGAGCAGTATTTTCCTTAAGCAAACTTATAGGAAGAGGATCCCAAAATCCAGGCTGAATCGTGCAGAAACGGGAACAAAAACTCTGCATGCGTTCTGCAAAGTTCCATCAGAGCACTGTCCACGGTCTTTTTCTGAGATAAACAGCACACAAAAATCTGACAGGAAATGTTTTGAAGAAATTAAAAAATAAAATGCATTTTACCAAACAACCCTCTAAAATCTCTTGGTGGTTTCAGTTGGTGTTAATTAGAATCAATATATCTTAACATGTATGTGAACAAAATATCCTAAATCATTTTTGACTGTGTGATTGATTTTTTTAATGAATGTCACTAATGAGTGTAATTTAAATAAAATAATCAGTATGATCCAGTTCAGACGTACAATTGTTCAGTCTTTTTTCACCATGCAGTGTACTGACTGGAAAATTATAATAAAAAAAATCAGTTTGACTTCAAACTTTGACAGTTTGACTTCAGATAATTCTCAATGATCATCTTATCTGATTGTGTTTATTTAGTGGCACCTCTACCTTTTAAACTTTGACTATTTGAGCCCCTTAAACTAAGGTAATGGCAGAACTTGTCTTTGTTCATAGAGTAAATTAGATCAACATCATTAGGAGAAATAAGTAATGAACAGTGCGGTACTCTAGGCCATATTTATTATATATTTTCAGGTTTTTATTAACTATTCGATGGTTGAAAGTTGTTATTTTTTCTGGTAAGTTAAAAACCAGCAAGTGTGAAACAATGAAATATTTCTCCTACAAAGATCAGTAACAGAATTAAATCAAAGCTGAACTCATGGCAGTCTTTAAAGGCTGATCTGATGCATTTGGTTTTATACTTTGATCAGCGTTAGCGCTTTTTGCCAGTGCGATTGAAGCGCTTGTAGAGGAAGCGGATCCTCTTCTCCAAGTTGTGTCTGTCCAGAGTCATCATTCTGTCTCCCACCATCCTCTTTTTTCTGATCGCACGCTGCAGTTCATTCCCTTTAAAAGCTTTCAACCAGCAGGGACCAACAATCAGGTCTTTGGGATGAGCTTTAAAGTCCCCTGCAGATACAAACAAACAAGAAAACATGTAAGATGAGTGTCTGCTCAGTTTTTCAAGAATGTAAAAGGAACCAGGAATTTGGATTGTTTAAACTCAAACACTTGAAGTTTTCTTTTAAAAAAAACAAATGATTTGATCTGCACTCGTTTAAGAATCTAGTAAGACTGGGTTTACATTTACTGACTTTCTGACTTGCTCTGGACAACTACGGCAACTCAGTTAAGGACTTGGCTCCTAAATTATGAATAAACTCATAATGTAAAGAAGACAAACAGTTAATCATTAGCACTTTAAACCCAAGGCAAAAGCCAGACAAAACTTACCTAGGATGCCGATGTTATCATAAACTCCGTACATGCTCCTCTTCTCAGTCCACCTGTCGACCTGCTTTGGCTGAGGAATGGCATGCATCTTTATCCGACAGCATGTCCCTGAAAACACAATTCAGCACAGGCATTCTTTAAAAGGCATCCAGCATACAGGTGATTTGTTGTTGTGTGTGAAAAAAAGTGTCTTCTGGGTAGATCGGACCAGTAAAGTCCTCCCTCTGCCTCCTAAGATAATATAGCCTACAGGTGAGCAGGCTGTCACAGCACAGAGCCAGAAACAAAGCAATCAGGACGGTCCTGGGCTCACCTGTGGAAACGCTCCTGGCTGTGTACAGCAGAGTCCCAGCAGACTGACACAAGGACGCCCCAGCCCTCAGCAAGCCTCCTAGTAGAGACATGTCCTCACTTCTCTACAAAAAACATATACATAATATTGACATACCACTTAAAAAACACGTTTAAAACCTGCATAATACTCTGCCCCTGTTAGAGGACTCGTCTTTCCCCTCTATGGAAACAGCGTTAGCCACATTAGCATCCAGTGACCCTTAGCTTTAGCTTCAGCCAGCACTTTGTCAAAGTCTCTGTTTACAACGTTACCTGCTCTCAAGCGCTGCAACCACCTTTTCCCAGTTTTTTTTATTCTTCCAAGAATGAAGGTAAACCAATAACTGGGAGTTAAAATGTTTATATTATTGACTTGGCGACGTGCTTTCCGTGGCCGCTTCCATGTTACTCTGTGTCCCACAATGCAACGCGCGAATACCAGCTTGTTGGTTGGTTGTTTTTGTAATGTTTTTAAAAGCGTTCATTGAATTTTCATCCAGTAGAGGGAGACATCAAGACCAGATGATATAAACTTAATCTGAGCAGACTTTGTTGGTTCTTATTCAGAAATAAGACGTTTAACAAAGCAAATGCCATTGATTTTTTCAATCAGTAAACAAAATGTTTGGTAAATGAAAATGATCCATTGACTGTCGATTATTTTTTCCCTATTATAAACCTACATCATGACGATGAAAATATTAAGAAGGCTGTAAACAAAACAGACAGATTTGACATTACATTATGTACACTATGAATTCTCTGTAACGTGCAAAACAAAACAAAACAAATTACATCGCACATAGCATTTCACAATGCTATGTATGACACAGCACAGATACACTTTATTCATAGGCAATTACTCAATACTCAGATCTGAGACTTTCAAATTAACCCGCTAATAAGCATGTTATTGGACAGCTGGATGAAGCCATAATAAACAGAGAAGTAAGCCATCATACACAAGGAGATCTTGCAAAACTCCCCAAAGAAAGGCCCGAGCCCAGAAGAGGGAAGCTTCTTACCATGTCATTGTGCAACAATGCCACCTGAAATCCCCAATTCCCTTTTCTATGAAGTCTATACAATTTAAAAAAAGACTAACAACTAACAATTACCCAAAGAAATATTAAAAACAATATTTTTCTTCCTAACCTGGTGAGTATTTTGTCACAGCAAACCTGCTGCAGCCAGTTTAATTCTGATTTGCTGTTTGGGAGACTGTGAGCCATTCCTCTCCTTCTCTTCAGCAAAACTCTTGGCTCAAAATTTCAAGAATGTAAAACATAAGCCCAAGGCCAGGAATATTCAGCACCTTTTTGAATTGGTGCAGTGCTGAATTGAGGTGCGTTTGCAACCATTGATCTTATGAATGAGCTACCCATTGATACCTTTCAGCATTTAAAAAAATCTAATGCATACATCCACTTGCTGGTGCTTACTTGCAGTATATTCCTCCTCCTACCCTTGAAAAGTTCCCCATGTTGTCAATAAATGTTGAATGCGTAGTTATAATGGAAATCTAATCAAATTTTGAAGAAGCCAATCTTTGTGTTACTGTTGTAGTCTATTTGTTTTGTTATTCGACCTAAGATATGAGAGGTTTAGATGTAAAAACATTTATGTCCCTGCATCCTATTCTGAAGGATGATGCTTTGGGGATCAGAGCTTCAATGATGCTCTGAAAGTTGCATCACTCAGCCTTTCCTGTAGTTGTAATTATGAGCAGGCTATCAGTGCAGGGAGCTAATAAAAGTCAAGCTGTTGGCAGACAGACTGTTTTCCTGACAGATTGCATCAACTCTGCATAGTGCTCCTGTCCTATGGCATTTTATAAAGAGTACAAATGCTTCTCTTATAAAACTTAAAGTCTGTTAAACCATGTTTCATTTTTATGTTGGTGCTTCTCTGATCTTACTAATCAGCTTTGGCAGAATTTAAGGTTGAACCAGCAGTTGAACTGAAAACATGTAGACGTGCATACATCAAGCCTTTTTTGTCTGGCTGTGCACAAAGACAAACGCGCGCATGCTGACAGAATTGTGTACTTTCAGTCTTACTGTTGTAAAGAGCTGAATGGAATATTTGGTCATTTTCAAAGAAAACAAGCACAGCTAAGCTCATTACAGATGATATTTCGCTTTCACAAACGTTTGTGACAGTGTGCGGAAATATAAGCCAAACAACACATTATTAAACATTAGATTCCATTCGCCTTCAGCGCACCACAGCTGCCTTTGCAGAGAAGGCTTGTTGTGTTACTGTAAATGTGCTCTGTGTGTGCATTTAACTCAGCATCTAACGTGACATGACACAAGCAGAAAACCTGGTGGAAAACATAAATGAGCAGACAGAAATCTCTTTCCTCAATTTCTCATCAAGGGGACAAACTGTATTGCAAGCTGTATCAATCAAAAAGTGAGCACGGCTCCCACTAACACGCATCGTGTGCTTACGAGACTCCAGCTTCATGTCGCATCAAAATGCTGACAGCAGAAAAAGTGGATACTTCTCAGCAGAGCAGCATTTTTATCTGCTTCCTCTGCCAGTAAAGCTCAGTGGAACGTTGAACAGCATCACCTACTCATGTAAAATACCATGCAAATCATATCATTTATTGAAATTAAACCACAACAGTATTTACAGTAATTCAGAAGGAGTTTACAAATTTTAGATAGCTCTCATTGATATTTGTCTAGAAGACAAAGATGGACTGAAGCAAAAGGAGAGATAATACTGTGAGTATGTGACATAGGAACAAACTACTCACCTACCTAAATTCTGAGGAAAAAAAGCCTGATTTTACTATTTTCCAAGCTCATTCTTATTAGCATACTCATCAGCGTCTCTTTAAGCTCAGAGTTGACTTCTTTCCATTTGAGGGGCACTTTCCTTCACAAAGGCTTTCACCACATATTCAGATACAGTGGAAGTGATTAAACATCAGCTGTAGGAAAGACCCCCTCAGCATGAGTGGTGCACACATGCCCCCGACACAGGTACAGCCTCTCACACAAAAGATGTGCTCTTCAAACTGAGGCCTCCAGATCAAACAGACCTGACTGATTAGAATTTAAAGCCTGACAGTTTGTGTCAAGAGGAAGTGAAGGGTGGATGAGATCAAAAGAACAAAGTTTCACTCACCCCAACAATTCACATGACTCTTACCAAGGGAAAAATGTCTCAACAAAAAACAGAGCTCTGAGATTCACCCACACACTCCTCAGTGTATTTATCATCCACATTAATCAAGCTTACAACAGTATCTATCTATCTATCTATCTATCTATCTATCTATCTATCTATCTAT